GCTTAATGAAGGTGGAAAAAAAACTGTGTCTTTGTGTAAAATTATATGGTGAAAAGGTCAAGCGAAATAGGAAACCACTGATCTTTTACCTTATTCAGCCACTCAACCTTCTCAACATCTGGAAAGTTGACCTGAAGGAACAAAAAACAATAAGGGTACATACTTAAACTGTACACACAGTCGGATAAGCACATAACAGGATAGGGAAATGACTCAGCCGTAGCTGATTCAAGTCTGTAAATGTCATCTTTAGCACTGTTCATCTCAGACTGAGCAAATACTTCCAGAAAAAAAGAGGAAAGCATAAGATTGCATGGTTCACTTTTGCATTAAGGTCATGTGTGATAATACTTTCACAACATAAGAGCTTGAAAATGTCCTCTCGAGTTATATTTCTTGGGATTAACTCTTAGAGAAAACACACACACACATATCATTTGTTATCCATACTAAAGAGCAGCACCAGAAAGCCACATGGTGAAGCCCCTTTCACAATACTTTAATGTGGAGTATGCATGCTGTTTCGTTACGCAAGTAATCGCTGTAATCACTCACTGAAAAAATGTATCCAAAGGAACAGGGTGTGGCTAGATGTTCTGAGTCAAAACAGCACCATGTGGGTTTCAGCATTTCCATTTTGGGTACACACACACTTTTGGGTACACACACACACACTCAGGATGTACGCACGCAAATCAAGACTATTATATTTCTTACACCTTTCCAGCCACTTTTAGTTAAAATTGCACCAAACATTGGATGGTTTAAACATGGTTTTTGCAATGCACTCAGTTTCCCCATTATGCTCTCAAACAAGTTCAGTCTTGAAATACAAACACACACACACACACACACACACTCACACACACATTTGGCAACTGCCTTAGCAGAAATAATATAGGAGCAAACTGCATATAAAAGAAAGGGATTTCTGCACACCTGGTTAAAAATAAGACTTCAAGAGCAGTGTCTGTAACTTTTTCCATGAGAGGAAGTGAACAGTGGGAAACATTTCCCTACAAGCTTTCTGATAGAGACCTACAAGTTTTACCAGCCTACTAAAATTTAAAAAAATCCAAAGAAAATGTCCAGAACACTAACAAACTGGAGTCCTGCCACTACCAGCTAAAAATAGGCTATGACTGGGCTGGTTTACTGGAACAAACCTCTTATCACCCCTTGTTACCCCTTGTTATGTCCCTGTAGAAATATTAAGATTTTAGCATTCAGCTACCTTACAGTACGTAACGTGGGGGGTTATTTTTAGGGTCAAGTGAGTGGGCGCAGGTAGTGAACAGTAGGGAGAGCCTGGTGAATAATGCTTTTTAACTGGAAGGAGACACCCGCTGACGAGCTGTAGGGTCACTTCTCACCCACGCAGGAAGATCTCGCTTGATTTTGGACACTTTCATGGATGTGTACTCCTCCTCGTTGCTGAGGAACTGTATGGCCGACCTCAGACGTGCCTCCTTGGCTTCTCGGGCATGTTTCCATCCCGTGTAGACCATCATGCCGAACACCAACAGACTGGTGCTGACCCGGTAGTACCCGGCCAGGTAGACGGGCAGCAAGGCTCCCAGGCATTTCCCGAACGTCCAGAGAACCGCGACTGCACTTATCCCCTTAGGTTTGGGAGCTCCTGTCTCCTCGGCACTCAGCGCTTTCTTCTCGGTGTCGCCTGAGCTCGGACACACGTCACCTTTGGGCTCACTCGGCTCGGATTTTTCGCTCTGCATGGTGGTTTCTTCTGAAGCGGAAAAATAATGTCTACACGCAGTTCACGTTACCGCCGGATACAAATATTCAGTTTGATATGTTAATGTTAGAAAAGGACCAAACGGTTTACTCTAACGTGCCATTTTTCTAACGTCAGCTTACGACCGTTTGAACCAACGTACAGCAGCTCGTTGCGTGTCCCCTGGTTAGTTCACTGTCGGTCCGTGTCGCATCTTTACGGTATTGAAACGTGGTTGTTGTTGTTATAGCTGAGTTGGAGCAGTTTTCCTGAATATGCACAGGTCTAGAAGAAGTGGCAGACAAGTTCTCTGCTCGCCCAGTCCCGTTATCTAGACGAAAACACGCCCACTGACTGAAGCTAAAAAAACGCATCTTTGACTCTTTCGGTGCTGCGGCAAGACAGTCATCAAATTTGTAGTAATTACTGTAATTACTGCAGCATTACGTTGTGGAAAACCGACATTTTCCACGCATCACGTGTGTCACTCAAACGCAACTTTCACCGTCTGATAAAGCACAGAACTGAATTTCAAGGAGAAAATATTGTGTTCCAGCCATGTAGAAAATTGCTTTGTGTCAAATCCTAAACCCATAGGTAGTTGTGGACAATTGTGTTCTGCTGCTCCAGTTTGTTTTAAAAACAGCAGACTGGGCATTATCTTCAATCCCTAAATCCGGTGTGAGCACACAGGCCCCGGCCATGCCTCCCAGTGCTTATGGTAAACAAACACATGTATTCCTCTTGTTTAATGAGCCACACGGATGTGAGGCTACTGAAGAAGCAGAGGCCATTATATTGAAGGTTTACACAGTGCGACTCCACCTAAACAGCCCAAGGATGTGGGATGTCAACATGAGCATTTGCAACAAGAAACTGTCTCTCTCTCTCTGAGTGTGGCTCTTATCTTACCTTCTGTGCATATACAAGTGTGAACAGAAGACAGCTGTAAACAAAGTGACAGACAACACAAGATTCATTGTTGAGGGTTTGTTATTATTATTATTTTAAATGTGCAAAGTACCAAAGTTAATTTACACCAGAGCAACCCACAAAAATATAAACACAAGCTTCCAGTCACCATCATCCCCACAAGGACGGCACAACAGTCTTGAAGAAATGAATTCAACACTGTGGATGACCTCACATATTTGCAGTTTGTTGCTATTTTTGAGAAGATCCCTTTGGTACAAAGGCTGTTCACGGATCAGTCAGTCTGTGGAAAATGCATTTGTGATGTTGCCACAGAACACAGAGTGAAGGAGGCTGAAAAGAGATGTCTTTATCCTGCCCTCTGGTGGACAAGTGCCTACACCTCACTGTGAGCGGTACAGGCAGTCACTGATCTGCCCTCAGTTGAGTCTCATAAACATAAGACAATAAAAGTTAAAAATCCATGTTAAGGATGCTACAGTCTGACTCGTGTGTACTACAGTCGTGCACTTAATCAGTTAGTGAGGCAGAGTGGTGATCCTCATGCTCTGACTTGCAATGGGGTACGACACCATTGGGGTGGTGGCGTGACTCATGGTAATGCCAGGCAGAGGCTGCGTCATGGACACTGCCACTGGGGCCACAGATACAGCCACGGGTGCCATAGAAACAGGTGGTGCCATCCCTTGAGCAATGGTCTGTGCAAGGGCAGCTGAGAGGGGGGTGATCTCGGGGTTGAGGTGGGGTGGAGGGGCTGTAGGTGGGGCAGCATTAGACGGGGGCGCCGCGGGGGCGCCGGTAGAAGCTACCAGGTCTTGCTGCGTGACAGGCCGAGGCTGCAGTCCAGCGCTGCTCAGGGTAGTGTGAGTCTGGGCGATGCCATGATTGTAGGAACTTACTGCACCCACAGGGGGTGCCAGACTCTGCTCAGTGGGTGCAGGAGTGGAGGACAGCGTCATGACTTTGGCCTGGCTTCGGAACTGGGCGTTCTGCTCCAGAAGGACCTCATTTGTGGCAATGAGATTTGAAACCTGAGAAACACACGGGACAGAGATTAGAGGAAGGAAAAAGGGTCCATGGAACGAGTTGCAAAAAAGTGCCATAAACTCTGCATTTATTTAAACATAAGTTACAGTAAAATGATATTTTTAAAACTACATTAAATACATTATAGCTTCTTTACATTAAAAAGAAAAAGGCTTAACATATTAGCAGTAACACGGTATGTCCACCCACTATAATTTATTCTACATATTTGTGCAGAATGATCAAACACACTTGGCTCTTCCCAGAGTGCGTCTGTGTCTTATGATGTTACAGAATGCCTTTTCCTTTTTTAAATGTTCCTGAATAGATTCATTGTGGTTTCAGTCAGGTGACTGTGAAAGGAAAATCTTTCCAAGTCGGCTGTTCCTTGGAGTCAAAACAGGTTCAATCAATCTCTGCTTGTTTAGAGTCAATGCTGCTCAAAAATAAAAAGGGATAACATGCGATGCTTTTCTGTGTAGTTGATCCTGTTCAAGTCAAAAACTCCAGAGTGCATTCATTACAGCATTAATCTCACATGCTGCTATCTCTTTACAAGTCTCCTACTACTGCTTTAAACATTGTTTCATCTGCAAATAAAATGTTCTTCAACCACAAGTTGGTCCATGTTGAACTTTTACCTTTTCTTGTTGCATAAATAGCTTGGACACTGCTCTGTCTTCCAGTACAGCCTGTTAACCAAATGTCAGCAAAAAAGTAAGATGTAGAAGTTGCTATCACTCTGACAGCTAATTTAAATACAGACCAGGGAATACCAACATTTGTGATCAGGTAACAAACTTATGCTTATTTTCCATCAACTATTCAATTATGTATGTTATCTTCGAATATATATGGTCAAAAATGAAAACATTAATCAATTGTTTGAGATTAATAGACATACTCATTTGCCTGTTTTTCAACACTACAGATCCAACTGTATTGTTGTGGTTGATATAAATGAGCTGGGCGATATTAAAAACACCGTATACAAGGACGCAATACAATTTAACAGCATTGCAATTTTCAACTCAATATTATGACCCTCCAAAAGTTAGGGTTGGCTGCTTTTAGCTAGTTGGACCTAATCAGTGGTTTAGGTGTGCCAGTTGGTGGTTGTGGTTTATGCTCTGTGTTCTGCAGCTTGAATTCAGGCAGTAAGGATCGTTATGATATTATCTTTAGAGGGTTTCGTTTGCAGAACATTACTGAATAATGCACATCAGAAGAGATTTAGATGTAGGTATACCTAGAAAAGAAGTGGATATTCTGTGTTTACCTGTGTATACCCTGCACCTTATGAACTTGTACCTTAGTCTACTTGCATTGCTGTATCTGTATCTCAGCCCTGTTTTCTCCTCTCCTAGCCTACAAGGTGCTCTCCAACAAGGAGAAGAGGAGGCTGTATGACAGCGTGGGCCATGATGCTTTCCTAAATAATGACGCCTCTGTTGACCCTGAGGACGAACAAGAGGGAAACTTCCACTTCAGTTTTGCAGACGTCTTCCACAGCTTCGATGACAGTCCCTTTGCGGAGGAGCCTTACTTCCAATGGAGCTTTCATCAGGATGAGGAGGATGAAGACGGCCTTTATGAACATTACACTTTTGGAGAGCCTAGCTTCAGCTTTTATTTTGGGGACGGGGATGAAGATGAAGAAGATCACCACTACTAGATATCCGGTATATTTGTCCTGTGTCCTGTATGACTGTTGTGTTTGAATGTATTGTCTTTTACTGATAATAAAGTCTCCATATTAAATTGTCATATCAGTATCTTTGTCTTGTTTTCAGTATGTAGAAATCCAGCTAAATCGACTCTTAGGTAGCTGTGTGTATTCTGCCTTTTTAATGGGATAACTTCTAGGTTTAGTGGTTGTTTACAGGGTTGTGGGGTTGCAGGGTTGACAGCTGGGGGAACTGATTGGACCGTTATGCCACTTTTCCCTGTGTGGGTGTGTCGAAGGTCCTGAGTTACTGACTAACACACCAGTTACTCATCGTTATCCCTGCGCCAGCACTTTAGAATTGGCACTGTTTTTCTCCATTTACTCCATACTCCAGGACCAGTGTGCACTTTGACCCAGAGGATATCCTGTGCCTGCTCAGCAGTTGGAGCGTGAGTGCACTAAAGCCATCATAAGACAAAAGATCTTTACAGCTTTATGCACTTTTATCGGGATAAAAGGATATTTAAGCATTCTACAAAGCAGAGAAACTACAGACTGGAAACATTAACTTACAAGCTTGACAATGATGGTAAGTTTGCTTGAAAATGTTCTTTCTGACAACCTCTTGAGTGTCATGTGACAGACTTTTTACACCAGGCAGATATCCATATGTACAGTGTGGGCTAAGTGAAGTTTTTCACTACCAGCTATTTTATTGATAATGGCCACATTTTGTATTACAGGAAGAGGTAAAAGAAGTGACACCTACTCTGAGTGTCCATGCTCATAACATTAAGGTTACAGAGGTGCTGAAAGAAGGGGACACACTTACCTTCTTAATCGTATCCCAGAAGGTAAGAAAATTATTCATTTACTTATTATTTGCTGAAAGCGTTGCTAACATTAGATCTACATTAATGCAGTAAACCGCTAAGATGGGTCTTTTATGATATTGCAAAGACAGACATGTTGTCTCTTGTCTGTGCCAGCTGTCTGGGACAGGGGAGTACCATGTGGACCGGACCTATGATGATTTTGAATGGCTGCAACAGCACCTGTTCTCTCAGGAGGATGTTCCCGGGATACAGGGAGTCATAGTCAGTATTTTATTTCATCTGTTGCCACCTAAACTAATGCACACTTTTCTGACAGTAAGGAGGAGGAGGATTAGCTTTATGTTATCTTGTTTCAGACTGTCTCCTGTAGCTTCACCAAGTCTTTTTTACTAAGTTTTGTAACTTAAACAATAGAAAATCTAATTATTAACTTAATACACTAACTTGCTACTGCCACCATTCAAGTTATTTTTTTAATTATTTTTTTTAAATGTTTCCTCCTTTCCCTTCCTTACATCCTCCTTTCCTTTGTGAGCAGGAAGCTTACTTTAGTATTACCAGTGTTCCAGCTGTCTCAGTACTGTAGAAAATTACGTAGAAGCTTTTTGGTATGATTTGATATATTTCTCAAGAAAGTTAAGAAAATTAGGAAGTTGTTTTTGTATGCTACTTCCTAGTATGAGTGTGTTTTAAAGTATTACATAAGCACATCCGGAGTAATAGTTGATCCAGGGCATAATGTTTGCATACTGTAAATACAAGCACTGCGCAGTTCAAAAAGCAATAACTAAATTTAAGTGCCTTTCCTGAGCCAGGCACATAATTAAATAAAGGTTTGGTTTAGGGAAAAAAAACGATGGAAACACAATATGGGCAGTAATAACAATATACTATTGTTTTTTTCTTCAAGTTTCCTCCTCTTCCTGCAAAGGCTCAGGTGAATGCATCTGCCAAAGTTATGAAGCAGCTTGGTGAGTAGACCAAGACCACTACCGTAAAAACAAATAACTAAAAGATTTAAAAGAAAAATAAACCAAATACATTTCCCACTTTTATTCTGTTGTACAGCATGACGGTGATATATTATGTGTGATAAGTGTTTTTCTGCAGGTTTCCTTGGTTTAGAAGAGTGGCAGCCATACTGTAAAGCACTGGAAAACTTCGTCCAGCAGATTGCTGCACACAGCATACTCTGCAAAAATAAAGCTTTGGAGATCTTCTTGACAAGCCCAGATGTAAGTGGACACAGACACAAACTTTTACTTGTTTTTTAAATCATAAAGAAGTTTATGTTACAAAAGGGTGCAACGTGATACCTTTTTACGAGAGAGACAGATAATAAATGGTTAAACGTTCACTGACACTGTTTCAGAAGAGAAAATGGAGGAATTCATGTGACAAATATAGTACGCTCCAAATATATGAAGGTCAACTTAACATGTGACAGCATTTAACATGATACACCAGTTACACCAGATACACATTTTATCAGTGATAATGTTGAGTTTTAAAGAAGGATGTTCCTGAACTGAGACGCATTTATAGGTGGACTTTTTTTTTTCTCTTCCTCACGAAGCAGTGAGATTTTAATGTTTTAACTACACTATGAAATCATGAGAGGAGAGCAGATTTCTTCAGTCCACTGTAGGTTTATTGTATCAACTAAAAATACAACATACCGAGATGTCAACAACTGAAAATGACAGGGTTTGTACTCAAATTCTTATACTGTCATTACTACCTGTCCATTACCATTTACAGTTTCTTTCCCAACACACAGTATATCTATCTACAATGGGCCACAGACTTACATCTTCAGCTTGGTCCCCAAATGAACAAAACCCGCCCCTGTCTTAAGTGCTGCAGGTTGCGTTGACCGGGCTGTTCTTCACATGCCACCATTGTGCTGGGGTACACGCTGGGGAATGTTAGGACCAGATGATGACACACACAAAGCTCTCACAGCTCTCCTGTTTTCAATAACACATTGATCTCACATCCTTGTTGGCAGGTACAACTACAAACTATACATTTACAAGTGTTACTTTATGATTATACGACTCTACAGAGTATTGAGACGTACTTGTTACATAATATATTCTATTCACTATCCAACACCGTTATGGTCATTTATTCCACCTCGGCTGATTAATTCATTATACAACTCTGGCTTACCTAACAGTTTTCTGCCCATACATAGCTCAGAAATATCCCACACCGGCTCCCTCCTGTCCGCACGTTGAACTGTCCTTGGACAAGATACTGAAGCGCAACTCTTTCCCAAAGGCTGTCCCATCAGTATATGAATGTGGGTGAATGAGACATGTATTATAAAGTGCTTTGAGTGGTAGGAAGACTAGAAAAGCGCTATATAAATAAGAATACAAACTCTCAGCCTGCAAATAACATCAAGTTTAATCTGTTTCCATTAAACATTTGTTTTAGAGGCATATAATACAGTATGCTATTGTCAGACTGTAGCCTTTAACAAGGAAGTGTTTTTCAGTTTTACACAGTTTTGATGAGACACAGGATGGAGTTAATACAGATTTAGTTATTATGTTATTATTTTACAAAGCAATGGATTATTTCAACTCTGTATCAGGCATGCATGTATGTATGCAGGTACATACACACTGAGTAATTCTGCCTCTTCACTGTCAGGTTGTTTCAGGTATGGACGATAATACTGTCCTGTCTGTGTGTGGAATGCTGTATAACAAGCACAACCACAGTTTGTTGTGGCATGGATAAAAAAACATCTATGGACGTTCCACAAATGTGTGTGCGTGTTAATTCTGAAACTAATACCCATTTTCTAATTGCTGAGACAATATTGATTTGGCACTAAAGATTAGAGTTTCACTTTGTTGTTAGCATAGTGTGTCTGTCTTATAGGCTTCCTCACATGTTGGGAAGATTTAATATATTGTGTTTAAACAGTATTAACGTTGAAAGTGTTTATTTGTGTCCTTGTAGCCTCCGGGCAGACAGAGAGTAAGGAAAAACATTTTCAACCGGCTGAGTCAAGCTGTGGTAGAGATGAGGAAAGAAAGCCATAAGGTACACAACTGGGACTCATACCAACAGAAATGTATAGCCTCTATACCTGCATGTTAGGTTTTAATGCCATAATGTCTGTGTCTGCAGGATGTGGATGAGTTCTTTCAAACTGAACGGGATCATAACCTTGTTTTAACTGGCTGTACCAAGACTGCAACTGAGGTGACTCACCTGTTTGTTTTAACAACCAAATACACTCTTGTTTGATTTTTTAACCTTTTCGTTTTTCTTGCAGAGATTCCTGGATGTGGTGCTAACTGAGCAAAGTAAGAAAACAGCTGCTTTTCATTTTAAAGTTTGGGAGAGACAAGAAGTGCCCATCAGTTGGCGTTATTTAGACTTGACTGTATTTGTCCCAAGTCTGATGTTAATATGTGTTCTATGTGTTTTGTTTGCAGAAATAGCAGTGGCCTGTGGGCACTTCTCAGCTGCTCTGCATCTCTGTGTGGAACAAGGGGAGGATCCTGACAAACAGGCCTTCTCTAAGTGAGACAATAATAGTGTTGGTCCCATGCCAGTAACATATGTACTTAAAAGTTAATGCATCTGAACATTGCATACAAGGTATTATAAATGAGTGTCATTTGAAAATGAAACACTTTCTTTTTTCAGGGCTTGTGTAAAATTATCAGAAGTCTTTAATTCTATGAAGGTAAGCTGTTTGTCCCTATAGAAATAGAATAATTAATAGTAAAAGTAATAGTAGTAATAGAAATACAAAGCAATAAACCATGGCTTTGCCAAATAATCCGCAAGTGATATATTTGTGTGTTGGCAGAAAAATATGACAAGTGTTGCTGAAAACAACGTGAACACTCTTGGGGTAGGCCTGGACCTGGAGTCACGCTACCAGGAGGCAGAAAAGGTGTGTAGCCTAGTTTTTAAGTCATTTTTTATTTTCATCTTATGTACGTTGTCTCTCCACCTTGAATCTTAGCCTTCTATTGACCTATGTGCAACGTGATTATTTGTTTATCTATTTATTTATTATTTCCAATGCAGGAAATGCTCTTCAGGAGAACCTGTAAACTAGTGGAGTTAGAGACTGCCAGGAGGAATGCAGAGAAGGCCAAACCTGTAAAGAAGGCTGCTGTAAGTGTCTGTACTCCTGTATAATAAGAACACAGTGACGCTAGTCCAGATGTACATGTCTTGTTGTGACCAGCAGATGTCAGTAACATTCTGCTGGAATGTTTTGA